GTTGAATGATGGAAGATAAAGGTTGAATGAAAAGTGAACCAGTAAAGACAAAATATGCAGAGGACACTTTCAAGAAGTTTGGTTGTAAAGAAGTGGACAGACTTGCGGGATATAGCTCAGTGGCACAGCGCCTGCCCGGCAAGCGCAAGGTCCTGAGTTCGATTCCCAGTACAAAAATAAAATAAAATAAAATAAATTTAAAAAAGAAGTGGACATCCCTGGAGAAATTCAAAGGAATGGGATATAAACTGCAGATAGTAGCAAGACTTGCAGGAATGGATCTTAATGATATTCAGTGGCGAGTATCTGTTCAGCTGCCGTGGAGAAAAAGAAAGTGTCCAAGCACAAGGTAGGAGGAGGAATGCAGGGATATTCTCTCTCCTGGGTTTCTACAAATGAATTTGGCCTTTCGAGTTTGCTTATAACCTAGGTTTTAAATTGAGTATTGCTCCTGTTAGGGGAGAATGTTTCCAGTTTGTCATCCATGTGGAATCTCGTGCCATATTCCCATGTTCTGTCCCTTTGAAATCATTTCAGAAGGACTTGCTCATATTCGTCACTGATGGTCCCGTGGAAGCAGTGGTATTTTGAGGATTCCGGGGGTGGGGAGTAAAACACACACAGACCTTGAAGGTTGATATTTTTGCTACCTGATCATTTTCCCTGTTAACAGGGAGTCCATAAATTTTTACCACAAAGTTTATATGATACTCACTTGGTATTCACTAAATTTTAGACAGTAAAAAAATATAAAAGCAGATAACAGTTATCATTTTAATAGCCTACATAATATTCATCACAAACATACTAGATATATATCAGGTCAACCAAATGGATAAAATGATTGGCTATAAAACAAAGCTCAAACCCCTCACTGATACAGAAAAAAAGAAAATAAAAACTTTAAGAGCAATGTACAGCAGCCAGAGACTCAAGCTGAAATAAGCTGGTAGTGTTTCTTTGGTCATGGTCATAGCTTAGATTCATATAGTTATAGTACAAAATAACATAACATATTTATCTCTTTTAGCATAAGGGAAATTAAGCATAAATGCATAAATACCCACAGCAGAAGACCGGCCAAGAATTAGAGTCTCAGTGTTATACTCACTTGTAAACTCCCTTATTTAAGTTACTTTTACCACTATTTCTAAATTTTTGCACGGATATTTTAGGATCTTTATTTAAATAAAAACAATAGTTTCTGAGTTTGAGAGAGTAGTAGGGAAAGTTGGTAAATAATAACATTTAATGACCGGAAATGTAGTATTGTGAAACTTCACCTTTTCATCTTATAACTGGTAAGAGTGTCAAACTCAGAGGCAATAACACAGCTTTGAAATTTAGGAATAGTTAGAAGCAATTTGTTAGACACAGTAAGGAAACAGTGTTTAAGAACAGTTATTCAGGCCAGGGGTATATCTCAGTGGCCTAGCCCCTGCCTGGAAAGCACCAAACAATAAAAAAATTAAAAATTAAAAAAATTATAGTAATAACCATCCACTTGGGGAAAAAGACTTTTTCAATTTAAAACCTTACTCCCTCAAATAGCATTAATATTAGTAAAATTTTACCAAAAGCTAAACTTTAGGAAGATTAATTTATTATTTTCATCAAAGATATATGTACCACCAATTTATTCTGGTTTCCATCTTTTTTGAAAGATGGAATAAAACTACACTGAAAACAAACATAGCAATGCTTTTTAAAGTTACAAGTAGGAATACATAGTGATATTCAGCATCATCAGATTACAGAACATTGTATTTAACAGTACATAAAATCTTTCACAAGAAGTGATGAAGAGTAAAATAAGAAGGTATTTCCACTTTTTTCCTTCGTTCTATTTTAAATCTACAATGTAATTAACTTACTTTTTATTGGAAGAACTGACCCTACAGTATTCCACATTTATCCTTAAACTGTATTGCTTACCCCAATTAAGTGGAACCAGATAAAATTAAAGTAACACATTAAGGAATTTCTAGCTTCACACCTATCTTGAAAGGCCAATGTGAAAGAAAATTCTGATTTACCATGGAGAAAAAGATGAAGCAGTGCTGAAGGAACATAGCTGTGTCAAAGGTAATAAATAGGAATGTCTGAGGGTCATATGAACACCAGGCTCAACAATGCTGATATCTTATCACATGCGTACATACATCTCTCTTACATGAGATATTTTTTTCAGTTCTATGTTAATGATGGCCAGAAGCTTCTTGACCATACAGACAAATAATTGAGAACCTCTACAGTAATACCCATCATTATAAACACATAGAGTTGCAGGGAAAATAGCATTTGAATTTAGAATCACTGAAATATAAATTATGAAATTATTTTTGCTTCAATAAACACAAAATTGTTTGTACATAGTAAGTTCTTACTGTCCTAATAAGATCTTAAATGATACCAACAATCAAATAAAGATACATCAATAAATTAAAGCATTTAATTAAATGCATTGATTGCCAATTGTTTTTCCATTGCTATTGTTGTTTTTTTTTTTTTTTTTTTCTCCTCTTCATGAAATGTAAGTCCTTAGAGCAGGTTTTGGACAAAAATCCTAGTTGTACAAAATACAACTCCTGTGGAAAGTTACTCAGATAGGAGCTTATAGAAGAATAACTGTCTGTTTAGTTAGCATGCTAATGAAATATGCATGGCTAGAACTATCCCCAGCAAACTTGTTTCCAGTCTTATATTCCTTATTTAGAAACTTCAAATTCAGAAATATCAAACATCCTAAGAAAATGGCATAAATTGGAAAAATTAGAATGTGAATGCTTTATTGGAACGCTGGGCATCACAGTGTACCTATCTCTTCAATATATTCTTTTCAACAGCAAGTGGGCTTATAGGAATGTTTAGGCACAGAGCTTCTAGGCACAGATTATGCTTTTTCTAGGCAAAGGGACAAATAGAAGCTGACCAATTTATCTCTTTTGGAACAACCCCATCTTAAAAACTTCAGCAGATAATTATGGATCATATATTTCATCCTAAATGATCTGTGAAATGGTTCTGATTATACGTTGGTAGAGTAGAAAGAACATACAGGGGGTGTTTCAAAAGTGCCATTTATGAAACATTAATACAAGCTATGCAATGCTAAGGCTTGGGCCTGGGAGGCAGATGGTCTGAATTCCAGTTCAATTAGGCTAAGAGCAAGCTAAGAGACTACACTCACCCTTTATACTGAGTCACAGCTACCTGTTCTATAAAGATGGTTATTATCCAAAGTGAAAAGAGAGAGAACATGCAAAGAGCTCTTCACTACCATTCCTTTCCATCGTCTAACTTTAGTTCTAATATTTCATAATACGAAAATTAAAACTAAGCTGGAGGCAAGCCCTATTTATTTGCCTACATATTGTTTTAGTGCTTTTATCATTTAAAATGCAGTACTGGTGCATGTTTCATTGAACATGTTTTTGAGTGTGGTTTGCCATTTGTGTGGTGAAACAGCTGCATATATGCTCTGTCATCCAGTTCCCTATGGAAATAAAGGACACAGATGTAGAACCGTTACTTCAATAATTTCTTATGTTTATTAGTACATGACTGCTGCATACAATGATTGCATTCCTCAGAGGATGGTGGCACATAAACATGATAGGTCTTCATTCTTTTTCATTCCTCTTACCTTTCTTTCCCTTTGTCCTACCTCCATCTCTAGATCTCCTTCCCATTTGTAAAGTATTTATCTCCCTATTTTATATTATCTGTTTTTACTTTAGTCTTTAAATTATTTAAGGGAAGTGGCTGTGTGGTACAGCTCTTGCCTTGTATGCCTAAGCACCTGAGTTTGAGCCCAAGAACCACAATGAATAGATAGATAAATAAATAAGTAAACAAGATTTTGGGTTTCTCAACAGAGAGAAACTACTCAGTATTTATGCTTGTGTTTGATTTATTTTGCTTAGAATTACACTATCAAGGTGCAGCCATTTTTCTAGAGTTGATTCAAAAATATATCCTTTTTTATGGCTGAGTGCTACTCCATTGTTTTTAAATACAACATTTTTTTTTCTTTCTCTATTCCTATATTGACTGGCATATATAGGCTGCTTCCAATATTTGGCTATTTTGAGATTTGCTGCTATGAACATGGGTGTGCATGTTTCACTGTAATATATATATATATATATTTTTTTTACCAGGAATTGAACTCAGGACCTTGTGCTTACCTCAGTGGCAGGCACTTGTGCCACTGAGCTATGTCTGTGGCTATAATATAATTTCTTTAGCTCTTCTAGTTACATAATCTATTGCAGGGCTGGGGATTTAGTTCAGCGGCAAAAGCGCCTGCCTGGCAAGCACAAGGTCGTGAGTTCGGTTCCCGGTACCGGAGAAAAACCAAAAAAAAAAAAATCTATTGCAATGGTAAGTGGGCTCTACATATGTAAAATTTATTTGTACTTATACTTGTTTTCTAAAATATATTTTTAGTAGAATTTAATGGCAAAATATATTTTTTTTTATTTTAAAGATAAAAGGAGGGAAACATTAACAGACATACAACATTTTACAACATATCACAAGCACAGTACAAACAATACAGAGTTACAAACAAAGTGGTAGGGAATTAACAATGGTGGTTGTATTACATATTGATATCTTCAAAGTGGCTTCTCATGAAAACAGATATAGACATGCAATACTGGTCAACCAAAGACTCACTGACAGTTTCTTTCAGCATAGAAATAGAAGAGAGAAGAACAACCATGTTAACTATCCTGTATATACATAAGGCAAAATATATTTTTATTCTAGTGGCATATCTAGCATATTGACATCTTGAGGAGACAGCTCCCTCCTCAATAAAATTATCATCAGTAACACCATAGAGTCATCATTGTTTTCATGAGTTGTTCTTTGGTTATAAAATAATCAATTTAGAATGCAAAATCAATTTGGGAAGATTTTACTCAAAATAAGTAAAATATTTCATGTATACACTAAAATTTGGCAGTTAAAAAACCACTGTTTTTTTACAGGTTCGCAATTTTATAAATTGAACCACCAAGGAAGCCACGTAACAACAAAGAATGAAAGACTTCAAATCTCTCACGCTCTCTTGCTCCCTCTCTGTCCTCGTTGTAAGTTACTGTTCATCTGGGATCACACAGTATGTGATATCACACATGAGATTAAACATGGAATGAAGCAATGCCTCGTGGGTTGGTCACATGCACTTCACTCGGAACAATCCTATATCACTGAAAAGAGAAGTACCCTTAAACCAAAGGATACAGTTGAGTCTTTTTATGGAGAGGCTAACTGTAGAATGGGGATTTCACTAAATTAACTTCCATGTAAAATATTTTAAAAGAATTACTTATTATAATATCATAATTCGAAGTTTGTATGTATATTTTTAAAATTTTGGGTTCAACTGCCAGTACTGCAAAGCAAACAAAATAACTCAACAGTAAACTGTAGAACTGTTTCTAAAATTGGATCCATAGAAAATCTTTTCACAAAGGCATATTTTATAACACAGTGCTTGGTGGCAGAAAAGACCAGATATTTTGATTGCTTTACATTCTCCACAGCTTCCTGTTTGCATTTAAAGTATGCATTTAAAGTATGTCTAGCACTCCATGTCTACCACCGACACACCACTGTTAAGTGACAGGCTGTTTATAATACGGTGTCTTTTCTTTCTTACACAGCCACAGAACTATAGTAATATTAGTTGCTGTCATAGGAAGACTCAAAAAGCCTAATGGACCAAATGTATGGAATTAAAAACTTATTGCAAATGTTGATCTTTGAAGTTTTTCATATTCCTATGTAGGTGGTAAAGGAAAGTTATTACTCATCCCGGAGTAATGTCTTGTGATAGAAGAGAGAGTGCTCCACTCCACATAGGGGCGGAGGACCCGGACTATGGGACACACTGTGAGCTTCAACCCAGAATGGGTAGACAGCGAGCGAGAGATGATGACTCCTGATCACACGCTGTGTAACTTTGAAATTGTTTCCAGCCATACATTGTTTTTATTATTACAAAATTGAAGAAATAAACTGTTAGTGTACATTTTAAGTAATAAAATTACCCTAAATATTAGTTTAACTTGGTTATTTAAACTGTATATTAGTGTATTTAGAGTAATTTTATTACTTAAAAAGAAATAGGTGCTATACTTTCTCAGGACATAAACATACAATGCTATGAGCAATGGAAAAGATATTTGTTCTCACTTCTGGCCTCTGGAATAGTGAGATGATTTCATCTACTACTCTATTTAGGTAAATAATGAGGTTCTAAAATACATGGAGAAAAATTATCAGGCTCCATATCAACAGGATGCCTGCAAGCAAAATGTCATGACAGCTGTATAAGCTTTGGACTCTGGGAAACACAAATGTTGAATGAGGAAAATAAAACCAGGAGACAGAGTGAAAACAATCAGGTTCTACACATGACTCTGTGCCCTTTTGAAATGTCATTTTTGCCCTCTAGAACTCAATTTGTGGGCTCATTGGTTCGTTTTTATTACCTGGGTCCTTTCCATTTCCAAAATGTTATACTTACAAAGAGAGTAAATGCTACTTCATTAGCAAACTACTGGCAAAAAATTACAATGGTAAATAAGACACACTATTCTATGTACTTCCCATTAAAATAGTTCAATATTACTTTACAATGCAAAGAAGTGTACATTAGTGACAGTCACTTTTCACATCATTCTAAGGCACTTAGAGAAGGAGAGAAAATTTAAGTATGGTCTGTTCTGAAATTAAAGAACATGTCTGCTTCAGAAGACAATTTAACATAGGTCATCCAGCTAGACTATTCAGATAATCCCAATAGCAACAAGAATGGTTCTCTACAGAGAGAGAGGCTGGGCACTGAGACCTTCTTGTGAGTGAAAAAAAAATCTTGTTTCATTTCCTGCCCTGAACTTCATGTCGGGTTATAGTTTTGAATTTTCTAGAAGAAGAATAATTGTAGTATTTTATCAAGAATGGGTTTGTTCTCAGTAGAATCAACTCTCTGCCCTTCCCCCCTAAACCCACCCATCCCAGGGAACAAAAGTTCCACTGCTGTGTGGAGAAGCCAGTAAAATGAAGGGTGGTGCAGTGCACCTGCTTGTTCGCTGTTATCAAATTCCAGCCTGGGGGCTACCGGTCGTAAGAGAGTGCTGACTTCTAAATCACCGAGCAACATAAACTCTCCTGAAAACATCTTTTGTGTGCAAACAGAGGTTTAGCAGCATGCCTTCTTCCTGGGAGGAAAAAGGGCATGCCTCTTCCCGCTAAGATTTGAAGATATTCATCCATTTCAAGCTCAGCATCATGAATACAGTTATACCAAGCTTCCTGGGGTGGTCCACTTTCCTTTAAGTGGATAAAAATGAAGGTACCATGAGAAGAACATGATATTAATATGACATCAAAACAGTTTTCTTGTAAAGAGGTACTTGGATCACCCCCAAATTTTAAAGGTTTCATCAATTCTCAAAGAAGAAATTAGCTTTACATAGTATATTAAAGGAACATTTTGAGGAACACATTTTCCTACTACTCCCCAAAAATGTCTTAGCATGTGAGCTTGCAATTACCCAAAACTAGGAGATCATGGCTCAGATGAAGAATTAAGAGTAAAAGGTTCGTAATTCATGTATTACCTGCTAGTGGCAGAAAAATGTAAAACTCTGCTTACCTTTAAATAACAAAGCACACAAATACCACTAAGTAAACAAAAGGAAAACTTCTAGGTGCACGAGAAGATAGTCTGTCAGTGTCTTTATTCTGACCTCAGGAGTTTGTGACTTCAAATTCTGGTCAGGTATGTGATTCCAAAATCCTGCCTGTTAACTGTGGCAGGTATCTCTGTGGACACACAGACAGAGGTGAATGTTTTGTGTGTGTGCATGCGTGTGTGTGTGTGCGTGCATGAGTGTGTGTGTGTGAAAGACAGAAAGAGGGAACCTAATTGCATAATTTATTTGTAATTTACTCATTTACTCGTTCTCTTGCAGGATGTTTCAAAAGAAAGTCATGTGTTTTAAAACCTAAAAAATAAATAAATAAATGTAAGTGGAAGAAAACCAAAAGAATTTCTTGCAAGGCAGACCCTAAAGCAGTTTGAAAACATCAAATAAAACCCCTCCAGCGTGTTCTCGCCATGTGATGCCTTTGTACATTCAGTTCCGCCTGTGGGCACATTTCCCATGATGCACAAAGGTTTCCGAGCCATGTTGACAGATACAAGCACGTAGGAATCATTCCTTTGCCATTCTGTCTGCTGAGTCCCATACTATTTTCTATAAAATTGATGTCCTTAGAAAATGAAATTATGCAAGTCAAATATTATTTCCGACTATAAGTAGAAAAGTAGAATTAGAAAAATTTGATTACTCTGCTCCTTAGATATGTATAAATAACACAATATGCATGGTTAAGCATAAGAGTTACAAACCCCACACATATGTCTGTACCTGTATATACACATGCATCTGTACCTGTATTTTTATATACAGAAATATGTGCACACACTGTACTTATAAGACTATTTTAAGAAGTGTCTGTTTGATCTTTTTGTCTTTTGTTTAGTTCTAGGTAAATGTTCATGTTCATTTTTCTTTGTGAAACATTGAAACAAGATTTGACATGAGGCCCTATACAGATCAATTATTACAATTACTTTAAAGAGAATTACTGTTTCCTAACATAAGTAGTGAGGTTTTTGCCTACTATAACTTTCTCCAAATCACACAATTTAAGGAATTCAGTCAAGTGGACTATAGACACAATTGTTAAATTGCTTTCAGGGAAACAAGACCGTCATGGTCATTATTTTCTTTGTATTAGAACACATTTGGTCTTATATTTAAAATAATGAAAACCACTTACGAACTTTAACAGTGATTCTAAGCAATCAGAGTCTAAGCTATCCATTGCCTTACTTATGGAATAACAGAATAAATATAAACATGAAATGAGATACCATTCCTAAATCTTTATCTTTGGAGTCAAAATTCTAATTTTAGAATTTTAGAACCCTCAGGCTTTGTGTGGCTTGAAAACCAAACCAGCTCCACAGGTGTCTCGCATCCTCACTGTTCTGACAGCACATGGTTTACTTCTTTCCCACACACTGGTGGAGAGACCCAGCCATGTTCCAGCAACTGAGCTACCTAAAACCTATCAGCACTGGCCTGCACTTTCTTTAGAAGTTCAAGTTACCAAGCCAATAATAAGTGTGTTTTAATTATTTTTAAAAGCTCCAGAAAATACCTATTGAATTTTAACTATGTACAAGTGATCAAAAATATGCAAGTTCAGCAAGTAGGGAGGAGTGGAAATAAACTTTGTATGTTTTTTTAGCTTCTATAGAGTCAAGAATGGAATATCTAGGCATTTAAATCTCATTCTTTCTTGTATAATGGAGATTTAAAAGGAAGCAATGATTAATGAGCTTCAAACACAGAATAAAAGTAATCTCTGGGGAAACAAATTCTTAGCTGAATGGGTCGCTCTACACAGCAGGGACATTTGGATACCTCGAGAGGAACTAAGAAATTAAGAAATGAACAGCAGTGAATAGGATTTCTTGGCACCACTAGGAACCCTTGGCTTAAAGTCAATATTTAAAACCAGCTAAATTGGTTTTGTTGCTCAGCTCATGGCGGTTTTTTCTTCCTAAACATCACTCAAAGTTTATTTTTTCTCTAGCTTTAGTAGGGAAATAAAGCATTCTATTAAAAGAACAGTATGTCTAATTTAATGACACTTTACTGAATGTAAATGTATTTGGATAAAATTGGTATAGGATACCTGCCCTTATGGTAGGAAATACATATGCATGGGACAATTAAATTCTAGTAGAGGGCTTGGGATACAGAATGGAGGTGTTTTTCTTTAATTAAATGCTTAAACTTCAGTTCCCAAGTGTGTAGAAAAATGAACTTACAATGTCATTCCCTGTTGCATTGGAAGGGAAGATGTCACGCCCACATTTGTTCTAAAGGAAAGAACTTGAGCACTAAGGAAATGTGAGCCACATTTTGTCTCAGAACTTCTCCAGAAAAACAGGTACCAGGTAGGCCTTATTAAACGATGAAATGAAAGGGAAGAAAACAAAGCAAATTCGTCTTCCAATTCAGAATTCAAAACAGTGGCAGAGGCATTAGGTGATTTATCTAAGTGAAATATGAACATGAATCTTTTGATTCCTAGTGAGGTTAGACATCTAAAATTAAGTCTCTCTGCTCTAAAGAACCAATGAAGTAGAAACAATTTGGAAAGGATTAACTAAAAAACTGTTATTCTTAAATTGCCTCATTCTTTTGAGAACAGTATAATGCAGATATAAATAGGAAGAGGACTAATATCTATTTGTTAAAATTACTGCAGAAGGTATTTTGCAAGCATATTAATATTTATTTCTCATTTTCAAATGAGAACCTGAGGTACAGCTTTTAAGTGATTTCAACTATCTCTTCTTTGGTGAAGTCTAAATATTAAACTTCTGATAATCAGCTTTCAAGGTTCAGGTTACTTCTACTACTTCATATTGTAAGGGCTAGAACAGAATCTGCTGGAAGTATTGTCTTCATAACCCTGAGACACAATCTCATCTAGAGCACGCAGGCTGGATTAGAAGTGGCACCTTCACTCAGCCGTCACAGGAAAACTTTATATTTCTGGGTGAAGAATTTTCCAATTGTTCTATCTCTGCTCCATTTTTATACCTTTGTCATCCCAAAATCTTTTCTGATTTTATACTGGTTTTAGGATGTGATTTAATACAATAGCTACTTAATTCTCTGTGAGTATTTCATAGTTTTTCATGGGGGAAGTGTTAATTAGACTATAAATGGCAACAATCAGTTGTCTGTTACTTATACAAATATTACAGACAGGTATAGGTTTTGGGCTATGTTTTCCTTTTATATCTCACAAATTTCATATATTTTCCCAAATAATTTTTCTAGTTTGTAAACTTATTGATGCAAATCATCATTTGCAATTGCAATTAGAAATATTTTTAGAAAGAAAGTTTTGGGATCATCATTATGTATTTATCACTACATGTGATAGAAACACTCTTTTAGCTTGAAAACTTCAATTTCTATTGGCATGAGGATAATATATTACTGTTTATTCCATCTAAGAGTGTATGATTCAGAATGAAAAGACTAAAAGTAAATGGACTAAAAAGCAACATAAAATCTTTGCTTGATTTAAATTTAAATTAGACCATATATTTGATATTAAAATAGCTCAGCAAATATTATTGTTTTCAATTCTCTTTCAGTATTTTTTCTTTAATGACTAACAAATGTAACAGAAGAAATCAATGCCCAAAGTAATACTCCTAAATACATAAAACAATGGGGTAGCTACTGAAATTACTCACTGATGACAAATAAAATCACAAAGGAATTAATAACCTCTATGTGACCTTTGATGTGTTTATTTTACACATGTACTAATTATGTTTTCTTAATTTTTAAGAGGCACCTGAGCCCAGATGCTAATTCTTGATTCACCCTTTCTCCCTGAGCACCATAAGCCAGCATTTGAAGTATGATATAATTTTAATTACAGAGATTTATCATTATGACATGTAATTTCTAAGTACATGAGATGACAACATAATGCATAGATATGAAGCTCAGCCACACACTCACTGTGTGAACAATGACATTAATGACAGGTTGCTTCCTACCTCAATTTTATTTTCTCCTTATTCTGTCTAAAAGATGTACAGTATCTATAGGTATTTCCTGCTTCCTGTTGTGCCCCATTCATTCCTGTTGTGCTAACATAATATACAGTCTTCTGTCAAATTTGATAGTATTTTATAGACATCTGTTGACAGAAGAGTATAACTGGGTCATACATGAATTTATACAGTTTCACATGTACATTTATGTTAATTTCCTTCCACTCAGTGAATGATAATGCATATCTATTCACACATAAACTGGCATGTAATTTAAAAATACTTTTTAATTGTTATTGCCCTTATTCTAGTATTTGAATCAGATCATATTTTTAGAATAACATAGTTGAAAAGCATTAGGCTAAGATGAAGGGACAAAATGACTAGTCTCATGTAAATTATCCTCTCTGGGGCTCAATTTCAACATGAGAAGGATTAGACAATCTCTGAATTTCTTCATGATGTCACCTTGTATGATTCCTTCCAACTTTTTTTTTCAGAGAAAGAGATTAAGAGAATTTTATTGTTCTTTAATACCAAAATTGGAATTATCTTTAAATGTGGACCAAAATAAGATGCCATGAAATGCGTTTATCTTTAGGGCTTCTAAAAACTCTGGAATTGCAGAGCTTTTAAACCTAAAGAAATTAAATGGCTTTTAATAATGCTGAAGTCTCTTCTATCTTTTTTCAAAGATAAACTCCAAAATATTACTATTCTTCCAGTTTTGACTCTAATAATTATTAAACTGGAAGAGATTTTTAAAAAAATTCTTCCGTACGGATACATACAAACATGTACATGTTTGAATAATAAGGGGATAAAACTCACTCAAAAGAAAGGAAGTCATAACAGTTTTATTTCAGATACAGAGTGTACATCACCTAGCCTGGTCTCCTTGTTCTTAACCAGTTGTCAAACAAGAGATGAAGGTAGTTCGCATGCTGGTTCTTACTTTAAAAAATTGTAAAAGTGAACCAGCTATTTCTATCATTAATTTATGAATTAAACTGATTATAGAATCATCCTTTCTACTATTTTCCTCTAATGTTATAAAATATGTTTTTGAAGTAATTAATAATTGGACTAATCTCATAGACGAGAGACCACTTCACATCTGCTATTTTTTCTCATATTTATCTTTCACTTATACACAAAAAAGATTTAAAAGATGAAAATGAAAGGAATAAGATTTATTGGACATAGAATTTCTCAAGCCACAAATAGCCTAAATATCATTTTTCATTTATTTTCTTTTTTGTATTCTGGAACTAATAAAGGAAAGACTAAGAAGTCATTGTCTATTATGGGCATTTTAATCTACTTTTTTATTTTATTCTATTTTTCTAGTTCCCAGTACCTGTCGGTACAAACCAAAATATCCTGGTTTAACACTTTTCAAGATCATAAGAAGCAATTTAATCTTATATGATCTATATCTCTTCAACCATCATTTAATTTCTCAGGTACAGTACCTAGTCTAAGCAAAGCCTCATTAAGATTTTTAAAAAACTGAAGAGATGACAATATACCAATAATTTTATGCATCCTCGATTCATTCACACATAGAAAAGGACAATAAAATTTCAGTGTCACAGAACTTTGTTGTCAGGATTTCTATACCATGATGATAAAAGGAAAATCTAGAATTCTACTAGCTGATTTCATACTTGAACCTTATAAATTATTGTATAGCTTATGGTATTTTACTCAATATTTAACTCTGTATTTTATGGAGTTATTACAAGGATGAAGAGGGATAGTGTTTGTAAACCAGCTCTACATAGTAAATGTTAATTATGGATGTTATTAATAACAGTTATATATGCACAGCTGTAAACACATATAGCTGTAAATAAATGAAAGCTCTATTACATCATATACATACTTGGCTTCTAGGTACATTATGCTCATAATGGCAGGTGAAGTTATTTAAATCAAAGCTTTGCAGCTCAAAATAACACCGGTTATATGAATAATCTAAACGCTAATAAAATGTATAATTGAATTCTAGTTAGGACACCACAAAATGTACAACTCAATCCAATATCATGTCACTGAACACGATAATAGAAAGTTGAAATAATTTGAGGCCCCATTTGAGGCACCATTAAAATCATATTGTTTATTTTGTCAGTAATTGCTAGAATTGTTTGAGATTATCATTTCAAAATCTAATTAAAATTTGAATTTGATTATTTCACATAGACTGAAAACTGAAATTTCTCTTTTCTCACATCAGTCTTTTTCAGCATTACTAAATCACAATATCAAATTTCAACTCTTTAATTGTCATTATACAAATAAAAGTGAGGAGGCTCCCTGGTCTTAGAGGGGAACGAGAGTCAAGAATTGCTATTTCTATTTTTCCCGAAAATATTATTCAACTTTGTTGAGTATTATATAATAACCAAAACAATTTGAGTTGGCTTGAAAATGTAGTTATACTTGGAATATATAAAATATATGCAGATATAAATTATTAAGTACAGAGTAAGAGGGAGAAGCTAGAGAAACAAAATGTTATATTCAATGTTCAGAGAAACTCGTGAAAAAGATGTTTTCTCATGCCTATTAACAATCCTTTAATCTAGCCCTTATGTACTACTAAGAGAGCAACATATATGAGTGATTTTGTTCGTTCTGTATTTTAACTATTTTTTCATCTCTTTTATTACAGAGTCAAAAGAATCAGTCAAATCACAGGAAGAAATCATGAAAACATGTTGGCTGGCAACAGTTATAATAGTGAAAAGTAGTGGATCATGCAAAGTTTCATTTATCCATTCTTCAAATAAAGAGATAAATAGAAAATTACATTCATCATTTAAGTAATACTGGTCACTTTTATTGCAACAAGTTTCATTATTACAATAGCAGCTGCTAAGATCCTAAAAATATATTAAAATGTTGGCTGAGTATCTATTTTCTTTATAAATTATATTGCATCAATTGTAAAGCACGTTTTTCATATTATTGTCTTTGAAATAGTCATTAATCTTATAAACTTCTACATTCATGTTGGGCTTCAATCTTTTCTATTTTTAATGTGGCCCCAAAATTTATTTCTTACACTGATGGTGACTAGATTTTTCAAACTAATTAATTTGTTGAGATAAGAATTCTGATGTTATTTTTTTCAATAATGCCATATAATAAATACACTTTCTGACTAAATAGTTAATACCGTGGACACTGAAGACAGAAGCAAAAATTCCACTTTTAAAGAGTTATATTTCTTAGCAAGAAAACACCCTAGTCCTAATGTAGCAGCTTTAAGCACATTTAGAGGCAATGCATACCACTGAGTCCCGCAAATATAAAATATGGCTCGATCCTAAACTATAAATGATGCATATTATACTTTATAATTTCATGATATAAGCCTAACACACTTTCAGTGATTGTAAGAATAGACTGTTCTATTGTGTATTTTAAATCAAAAGCTTACTTCTCAAATAATAAACATCTACTGAGGAAGTATACTTAAAACAACATGAGTAATTCTTAAATCAACTTTTGTAACCATCCTACAATTCAGAGTTCTCCTTATTCTCATGTGAAGATAAGCAACCTGAGGCTTAGAAAGCTGACTGCCTTCCCTAGATTGGAACTGGGCAAGGGAGTCGAGATCTAGAACTATGCTGTGATTCTCCATGCTGTTCCACCCCTATATTCATCTACTGCACAGGGTTCAGTAAAACATCTTGTCCTGTTAGTACTAACCTGTCTTATAAAATTGCCATCAGCCCCATAAGTCTATCTACATTTAAGTTAAATAAATAGCACAGAATAAAAAGTTCATTTCTTCCATCACACAGGCCTCATTTCAATAGCTACATTTGGCTCATGGGTATTATATTGTGAAATACAAAATGAATATTTCCATTGACACAGAAAGTTCTATTAGTGCTGGTGTCTAAAGCTAAACATATTAAATGGAAGTTCCTAACCTCAGAGACATTGTTGATTATAAAAATACTGCTAATAATAAATGAAGAAGATACCTTCCCAATGTTTTTATGTTAAAACTGAAGGGTGAATATTGGTCAGAGATATAATATTTACCAAGACAGACAGGTCTGCAGAGATAATTTAGAATAGCTCATATCTCAGCTCAATGTCTTGAATGTACAAGTACAGCAAAACAAAGTTAATAAACAGTTGAATTGATATCACTGTTCCAAAGCATCTTGAACCTATACCAGTAAAATTGCATCAACTAATAAATACTGTGAGTGATATATAATAGTTCATTAACCTTAACTTTTAAAAAGTCATAGAGGAAAGGCACCGGAAGAGGAATGGTTCACAGACCTGTTACTTTTAAATAGAATCTAGCATTTGCAATATGATTGGCTAGTGTGTTTGCTTATATTTCATTATCACCATCTATAATATATTCACATATTTTACACATGTCAAAATAGAAAACATGTTTCTAACATACAGTTTCAACACTTTTACTTAAAGTTAGATTGTTTACACTTACAACTAATTTAATATTTAACTCAATAAGTTCTTGCCTAGAAAAACTCTCTTTAACACTTCTGGAGAATGGCACAATACATAGAAACAGGAAGCAGATTTAGATTTTAGCACCAAATACACCTTAGTAGCTATAAGACCTTAGCCCAGGTTTCCTTAGATGTACAATTACAATAAAGATATGTACCAGGGTGACATTACAGTGTTGCATGTGACAGAATGAAAAAGAAACTAAAAGCTTGTGTAAAGTATAAATGTCCATAATAATATGGTATATTATATTTATCCTGCTTTTGGTAAAAGGGAACAGAACAAGAAATCTTATTTTAGAACTCTGGATAGCTGAGGAATTAGGGCTTGCTATGTATGGGGATGCCTCCTCAAACTAAACTAGAACATATATTTAGTGTTTGTTTGTTTTTGTTTTTGTTTTTGTTTTTCAGTAGTGACATGTGGAAAAAAAGCCTGTGGAAATTTCAAGCACTCTGCTTTCTCTCTAAAATACAGATTCAGGTAACTGCTAAATATCATTCATGCAGTTTCCAGTCTTCTGTCAACAAATCAGAAAATACCATATCACAGTGAGTGTGATCCCAGTGCAGCTTTTCCACCCTCCCTGACTGGAAACGGAGGCATAGAATCTCTCAGTTCTTTACAATTCAGTTTCTTCAAGTTAGGAAAAGCTACCACCCTGGGATAAGGATTGGGATAGGAGTATTTGGATGTGTTACTGATTTCTTCAGAGAGAAATTATGGAACCACAGCAATAAATAATCATTTTCTTGTACTGCACTTGGTGCCCTGAGCATCAGTTTTTCTTCCATTTTCTAAACATAATAAACTTACAAGCATACTTTCTTCATAAATAAGCTCTGGTAAAGGGCTTGTTCACCTAAAAGTTTTCTTTCTTAAGAAAGGGAATATTTATGTCTTACTGTGTCTTATGCACATGAAAGAATAATCATAGAGGTTAAGATCCCAAGTAGCAAGTTCTCATAAGAGTTCCCACAACGCTAGGGTTCCTCCAGTTTTTCTGAAGGACACTATAGGGACTACACACACTGTCTTTCAGAGAACAGGTCCGCTTCAGGGTCTGTAAATGGGACATAGATTAAAGGAATGGTCTTCTGTGGCCTGCCTAGCTCATCTTACCAGTCACAATTGAGAACACATGAGCCTGAGGAGAAGAGCTAATTCTAGTCTCTGGAAAACCCATCCTGCCAACCCCCAGGCCAAGGTTTATTTCCTCAGGGACAATCTTCTCTCTAATTCTTGGCATAACAGAACAAGAAATTCTCTTTTCCCCTTCACTTAGTTCCGTGAATTCACTTACTGATTTTCTAAAGTTGAAGAATAAGTCTCAGAAAAATTTGGTCAAATGGCTGTTATAATTCTTTTATCTCATAATTGTACCCTTTTCCCTTTCAAATATATGCTTCTGCTCAGTCTATAAACATAAATGCATCATTCTGATCTTCCTTATTCTAATAAATATATACTTTGTGACATGACAAACAATATATTTTTTAAAAAAATTGAGTAAGTTATCATTTTTCAAAATTGTGAACCTAGTCTAACAACTGATTCCCTCATAAGAATGTGTGATACATTTTAATGATTCTGTCTGATTCATGTGAGGTTCACTATAGCTTAGTTTTTCTCTAATCGCTTCCCAAGTAGTCTATCCCTATCCTTGGAGGATTCCTGGAATTTCTATATTTTGTTCTGTCAAGTAACATAATATGCCGAGTGGTTCTACTGTAAATATTAGTAGTACCTTGATCAGGCCTTCTATTTAAAAACAATCCCTGAACTAGCTTGGTTGAATCCACTCAAACATTACTAAGACCTTTCATTGAGCATCTGAAGAGCGCTTAGCAACTCTAATGTAAATATATATATCAGGGCCAGTGAAGAGTGATGCATGATGAGGGAGCTTCGAAATGAAGGGCTGAGGCAGTGCCAGTTTGACATGAGAGAGGTGCTGTAAGGCCGTGAAGACAGGACTCCTACTGAGTACACAGAGACAAGCCTCGGGCTTCTCACTGCAGGAGAAAAGATCTTACACATGAAATAGCCTCGAAGTAGTCTCAAAAGAGAATCTAACCCTCGGACCATCCCTTGTCTAAACAAGTCACATGCAAAGCTCCAATGAAGCAACAGGAATCTATCTGAATATCTGAAAACCGACACAAGAGTTTCGTCAGCGTTGACACAAAGGAGCTAAACACCGAACAGAGTCGGAAAAAGAAAACTAAGATTTTCGAAGAAGCATCTGTGTGAAAGGTGCTGTAGTTGACAGCTCTCTGCTTTTTTTTTATTCATGTAACAACACACAGATTTTTGTTACAGTTTTCAAGATAAAGACTATAGGTGGTAGCTCATTTAAAAGGAGATTTTCTGATTTCATGTACGTGCTCTTTGACATACCTTGAGTCAGATGCTCTGCCCATTTTGATATTAGGGGTTTTGTTTTGCTTGGTTTGGTTTTTCGAGAAAAGGTCTTGCTATGCCATTCAGGTTGGCCTCAAACTTACAAGCCTCCTCCTTCAGCCTCTCAAATGCTGGGGTTACAACTATGCACCGCCAAGCCCGGTGAGATATTCTCATAATTTATAAAGTAAAATTTAAAATATTTAGGGTAAAATTTGGTACAATAAATACATCTATACATGTATAAAATTAATATCTAGGTTATTGTAACTATCATTCCCTCATATCTAAAATATAATATGCATAGGAAATTCTTTAATATTACCATCAGTAACAGATAAGATGATTTTATAAATTATAAAGAGAGAGAAATAATAGTTTTTTTAATGTTCCATGGAGTAAAATTCCTTTAAGAACTGGCCATACCAATGACTAAGTATATACAAGTTTATATTTAAAGTTGCAAATTTAATATTCAATTTGGGTTTAAATTTTGAGCAAGAATATTTGGTTAATAAGGAGCTAGTAAAAAAATGAGCCCACCTTCATTACCAGGAGTGATTACCTGCAAGGGAGCTTAATGAAACCATGATATATTCCTCTCTGGCCAGCTATGCACTCATCCGATACAGCAATAACATGCCCAGTGGCCTCTAGAAGGGCACATTTATACACCAAAAGGGACAAACAAATAAAACTACATCTCTTCCCTGGCCAGAAAAGAATGATTCCATGGCAGCAGGACAGCTAGAAGATGCCAGGACAAGTTCCCCATTCCCTTTCAGATCGGTGGCCTGTTTTTCATTCAGTAACCTGCGTCTTCTCACCTGGCCCATAGTGGACCAGGGAAATGTGAATAGAGGAAGTAAAAAGGTCTTCTGTTTAGCCAGAGCAGATATGTAAGTATTTTTCTTGTCTTTGTACATAACCAGAATAAACTAATGTCTTTTACTTCACGGATGAGACCTACGTGCTGCCCGCTGCTCTAAGAAGGCTATGGAACAATTTTTAGTGAGCACCAGGTAACCAATAAAAATCCTAAAGCAGCAAGTCTAAAGAGGATCCGACCATTAACTGTTGAATAAGGCAGTGCTCGTGTTAACTATGCATCCATCTTACACAAACATAGAGTTTGCAGGAAGCAAATGTGCTGTTCTTTAGGCATTCTGTTCTAATGTCAGCACAGCAAAAAAGAAAAATGTTTCAGGAGAACTGCAAGCTTAAACAATCATGTACACATACACACAAGCATTGGAATCTTAATTTCAAAATTATTCATTTCAGCACTCCTCATTTCTCCTGCCCCCAAAAAACTCCTTGCCAGTAAACTTAGAAAACATAAAAATAAAATTTTAGAGGAAAAAAATTTTTCTATGGATTATTATTGTCCTGGTGTCGATTTATCATATCCAAAGTTGGTATTGGGCAATATGGTGATACAGGACTTGTGTTTCAGTATTTTCATCATCTCTGAGCTATTTTACACACACATTTCTCTCCATCCTTCCACTGTTTTTTGTTTTAATTCTGACTACA